GAGCGAGACTGCGACAAGGCCGGACGGCTAAGACACCGGAGCTGTGGAGTCGAACAACAGGAGGATTTGTTTCGATGCACTGGCTGCGTGTGTCATTCATGCACCACCCACAATGGCTTGTATCTCACCCCACGATGTGACAGGTCGAGGAGCCATTCGGGACGCATACAGCACGTTTGGCACTCGTACGAGCAATTTCGAGTTTGATAATCAACCCCGTGGGAGACCTCCGCAGAAGTTTGAAGACAGCGAGCTGCAGGCTTTGCTGGAAGATGATGACACTCAGACGCTGGGACAACTCGGGATACAGCTACAGGTCGCTCCGTCGACAGTTCCCGAACGATTGAAGAGGATGGGATTGATCCGGAAGATGTCCAAGTGGATTCCATACGAAGTGACATCAAGACAGCAAGAGTGCCGGAGGACCCCCTGCGATCTGCTGCTCGCCAGGCACGAACGGAAATCGTTTCTGTATCGAATTGTGACTGGTGATGAGAAATGGGTCCTTTTCGAGAATTCCAGGCGTCCAAAGTCGTGGTTGAAGCCCGGCCAAGCACCAGCGTCAACAGTTCGACCGAATCGGTTCGGAGGGAAAATAATGCTCTGTGTCTGGTGGGACGAACAGGGCGTCGTATACTTTGAGCTGCTGAAAAGAGGTGAAACTGTTGGTACGACGCGCTACAAGCAACAACTTATCCGTTTGAAGCAAGCACTAGACGATAAACGACCGAAGTGGCGAGATCGGCACAACAAGTTGATGTCGCTCCATGACGACGCTCCAGCTCACACGGCAACAGCGACTCGGGACTACATGAACGAGGTCGGATGGGAGTTCCTACCCCACTCCGCATACTCCCCGGATCTAGCACCCTCCGATTATCATCTCTTCGCCTCCCTCGGACACGCTCTAGGAATAAGCAGTTCCCTTCTGAAGAAGAAGCCCGAAATTGGCTAGCTGAGTGGTTTGACTTGAAAAATCCGGAATTCGACCGATCAGGAATTCGAGGGCTGCCCGAAAGGTGGGCAAGGTGTGTGGCAAAAAGGGGCAATACTTTGAATAAAATATATCTTGTTGTTGCTTTTTGAGGGTTTTTCGATCTTATCAAAAAAATCCGATTTCATACCGAAGGACCTGGTACATCCTCAACAGCCATGCCGACAAGGGTGACGCCAACCATTCCACCGAGCACCGAAAGGCCAACCACCACAAGGTCACCGGAGCCGATAACGGCACCTTCTGGCAGAAATCTCAAATGGTGGATTTCTATCACCTTCCTATGCTCAATCATCACTGCGCTGAGCGGAGTGATCCACTTTCTAGCCATGAGACTGAAACGCCTGGGATACCGGGAAATTGAGCTACGAAACAGAGCATTTAATGAACTGGAAGATTAGGAACTCTGAAAATAAAAAGCACTCCACCAGGAATAGAGAGAGAATTTTCTTTTGGTATCCTTAATCAAAATTTTGTTTGTCATTCTGAATGAACACACACATACAGGTTGGGGCACAGTTCGGCTGCCCGCTGCTGATCCCATGAGTGCTCCCACACAATAGGAACCAGCCTGACTCTCACGGTCATACTTCCCGGCGGCTCTGTGGTCTTGAGAAAGACGCACACTGGCGCTCCGTGGAACAGCAGCCCCTCGACAACCCTCTCTTGTTCCAGTTTCCTCAAATCAACGACAAGCGTCGATACCGTCCGCCGGAGTCCGATCACTAAATCATGCAAGAAATTACTAAGATAGTTTGTTTCCAACGCGACAGCATAGAAGGGAAGCAAAGAAAACGGAAAACCCACCGGGGCACACCGTCAATAAAATGACCATCACGGCCATCACGGCTCCCGCAACAATGCGCTCCCGGGGGATCTCCCACCCACAGCGGGACAGCACTCCCAACTCAGCCCGATGAAGTTCGAGGGAGTCTCGTTTCGGCTGCTGTATTTCATATTTTGCTATCTCACGGTTCACAGCATCGAGTGGTTGAGCAAGATCGTAAATAACGACTCGCGCGTGGCGTTGCATGTTTAAATCGCTCTACTCGCTTTCTATATATCTACAATTGCTTTTCACGTTATCCGATGTGTAACACCGGACTGACTCTTGCCTATCATGGATATGAACAGCTTCAATAAAGACTGATTTCACTTGAGGAGTGATATCCTATACCGGTATTATCTCTTTGGTCTGTTGTGTTCCGCCCGGAAGGTGCCTACTCATCCCATCAAACTCTTCGAGTATTCATCGTCATCGCAGGAGAAAGCGACCGAAATTTTCCTTCATTCGTTATCAGCACGAAGGATTCTGCTCTCCAGAGAACGCTGAGGACAACTCGCAAGAGGAAAAGGTCTCCACGACTCACTCAACAACCCACGGAAATCTTCCGCGTGAGTTTATCGCACAGTCTTAACTGGGAACCGAAATATGTCCGACACCGAAGGAAAACCTCTGGCCCTCGTGACCACGGGCGCAGGACTCATGGCAGGCGGAGAAAACTCGGGAGGGGGTTCTGCTGCTGGAGGTGGTGACACCCCTGCTGGCAGAATCACTCCGAGTGGAGGTGACGTCAAACCTGACCTACCATCCGAGTCTGATGAGCCCAACCTGAGTGACATAGGTACGAGGGAAGACTGCAACGATCGTGTTGAATGAAGATGGTTCGAACTACTTATACTGGAAAGCCTTGAAGCTGTTTCCATTCGCATGGCAAGTTGTCGAAGGAACGCTGGTTGGGAACAAAGGCTCTGATTCCGACGCTAAGAAGAGAATCCCCATTTCTGCCGACGCACCAAGCCTATCGAACTAAAATATTTCTTCATCAGAGATGGTTACGAACGAGGAGAAATCGGCGTCACCTACGAGCCATCAGAGTACCAGCGAGCTGACTGGTTAACCAAGGCCCTCAACAGGACGGTATTTCTGAGACAACGAGATCTGTCTAACATGACTACATGGAGATCTTAAACATGGAAGTCACAGTCCTAATGGCAACACTAATAGTTCCGTCTGAACAATATTTTTCGTATTTGGATTGTGGCAATGATTGCAAGGTGCTGTCTCAATCCTGCATAATCAGAAGAGGCATTGGACATGCTTTCTTCATGACCTGCATCGACTCGGAGGAATGTGAGAACGAAGCCGTTGATGAGACTGCGTGCATCTCAGACGATAAGGGCACTTTAGGTGGTGGGCAACTATGGCGGTGGTTCAAACAAAGACCAATGCCCGTTCCTCCAAAGCCAGAGCTGAACAAAAAAAATTGCAACAATTGGAAAATCATCATCGCCATACGATCCTCGGCTCCACTAGCGTTAACTTCGTTCTTCTTGATAAAATATCTCATGAAAAGAAAAAAATATATATATCATATCGGCGAGCCTCGGGACCCTTCTCGACAACGGCACGATGCGAATCTGCGCGGGCCTCCGCCTCGGAGCTAAAATCGTCACCCCCACCTGCTCGTGTGGGGATCCTGTTGACGCGAACGGCACGCACGGGCTGTCCTGCAGAATGAGCGGAAGGCGGCTGGAAGGTGGTCTCGCCACTCCCAAATCAACGAAACGTTCAGTCGGGCTCTTCGCACTGCTCAGATACCTAACCTTAGGGAACCCCTAGGACTGAGCCGCAACGATGGCAAGAGACCCGATGGCATGACACTTGTGCCCTTCGGAAGAGGAAAAGCCCTCGTGTGGGACGGAACGGTTGTCGACACTCTAGCCCATTCATATGTCGACGCCGGGAGCATATCGTCGGGCTTCGCAGGCGCCAGAGCGGAAACTCTCAAGCTTCAGAAGTACAGTGAGCTAAGCGTCAATTACCTGGTCGCGCCCCTGGCCTTCGAGACGCTGGGTGGACCGGGACCGGCCACGAGATCGTTGCTCACGACGGTGGGACAGCTAATGGAAGAGGCGACCGGCTGCAGGCGATCCCGTGAATACCTCTTGCAACGCTTATCCTTAGTTGTCCAAAGAGGCAATGCTGCGGCCGTCATGGGTACCATGGCTACCTATCAAGGGCCACACCTAGAGCTACAACATTAGGGTAGCGAAGGGCAGTTACAGTAGAATGAACTAGAGCTCGAACTTCAATAAAAGCATGTCACTGCATAAAAAGAATATCAAGGCCAAGAGATGAGAGTGTGCATAGCAATATGGTAGATGATCCGTATCTACCTACAACTAAGGATATTCCTCCAAATCAACAAGAAGATGAAAGTTCTGACTCAATTAAACAACCGCTAGTACAGAAGTAACACGATGCGAAAACGCCACCAAAGAATCGAGGTCATTCTTATCCCAGAGACAGTACGAAAGCGCGTACCCACCAGGTTTTGCGAAGAACCGCATTTTGAATAAACCGCGGTGACGGTTAACCGCGAGCAAAAAAACCGCGGTGACGGTTATTCTGCGGTTAATAACAGCGAATCAGGGAGGAGCTATTCATCGCGTCCGGGAAGCGTTTATTCCCGTTCATCATGCATAGCGGGAAAATTGAGATTACCGATATACAAACAACTCCACTCTCACAACAATACATACGCCGTCAAACACTCCATGTCTTCGACCACAGACTAGAACTTCAACACCGGCTCCCGTGGAATCTATGTACAAGTTCAAGTTATAGAAGCCCGAGCCGAAGCGCCTTTCGGACGATGAAGATGATGTGGAGGGTCTCTGCCATCATTCTACCACGATTTTCTCCCGGTATGGGGCCCACTATGCTAAAGTCCCTTTCGGGCTGTACGGAAGTCGGGGGGACTCCCTTCAGGCTTCTCAGGCATCGTTGGAGCAGTGGGCCGAGTGCCCCACCTCCTCGGAAAAAGCGAAGCTCGCGATCGACGTCTTCCCGGCTCCACGGCTCAGTCTCGCTGGTGCTCGCGCTCTCGGAAACCGAGCTCTCCGAGAACATTGAGTCCCACGTGAGGGTTTGCAAGGAAGGCTACTTCAGGCGAATGATTTTTATGTGTACACGGAAGTGTATATTGGAAGCGAATCACCCTTACACAAGACCAGCGAATATGATGGAGAAACGTACCGAACTCGGATTATGGGCGCCGGAAGTGCGTGACTCTGTTGTCCTTGCTCCCAGAATATTCACCATATGATCGACTGCTTCGTCGTCGGAGATGTGAGCTTGACCCACGGCCGATTCGAGATTGAAGTCGTAGCCACGGTCTCCGAGAATCGCCATGAGGGTAGACAGACATGTCCTCCGTTTCCTTATCTGCTGCTTCAGGTTCCTCAGTAGAATGTCTGACAGTTCTGTATCCATCGCTTCGAGGTCTTTCATCAGTAATACAAATGATTTGTCAGCGTGGAGCAGCGTGGTCTCTTCCTTGCAGAGGAACAGAATTGCTCTTTTGAAAGGTGACAGGACATTTCTCATCCTCTCCGGAGCGACAGCGTCGGTGGGGCTCAATGGGGCTCCGTGGCCAGACAACACATAGTCAATTGCTGGGAAGACCTCCAAGGCTCGCTCAATCATGAGCAAAGTTGAGGTCCACCGAGTTCGGCAGTCGATGTTCACAATCAAAGGTTCGCCGTTGAATTCATCTTTAGCTTTAGTCTTCCGAAGCTCGTCCATCAAAAATGACTTTTTACGAAAGTCACGAATGACTTTTCGAAGACGCTGGAGTACGTCACCAAGTGATACTGTAATCGGCATTCCTCCATCTTCATCCGACAATGAGTGCTCGATGGCCTCGAGATCGTCTCCGTCGTCGTCATAATCGTTATCGCTAATGTGTGCCTCTTCGGCTGCGTTTTCTCCCGGACTGGAGGAGTCGAGGATCGAAACGTCAAATGCAATCGCCTGCGTTCCGTAGATGGCTTTCTTTACAACAAGGTGGAGGCCATGCGCGTAGCATGCCTGTCGTCTCAGTCCAATTAGATCAACAGCACGAAGAACATTGCTTGCACCATCCGTTCCGGCCGCCAGCAGATCCGCTCTCGAAAGATTGAAGACACTTAAGCGATCGCTGATTATTTGGCTAAGATATTGGCCAGTAGCGGACTCATGGTTTCGTATGAGGCTGAGCGGCGCGATTTCCCACCTTCCGAAAATAGGGTCCGACCATGGACGTTGACAGTCAGGGATCTACCTGTTCCAAGAACTGTTGCTCCATAAAAAGAAAGGGGGAATTCGGATCCTGGAACAGGAAAAGCGAAAACTTTATGAATATCTTATCGCATCAACTCGACTTCAGAGACTGAATCCTTCGTATTGCTATATGATGTAACTCTACCTTGGTGCCTTATTTGATGCAATGTTCTCCTCAAAATACTGCTGACTTTATCGGACTCCTCGTACAGGATTATGCGCAACGTCGAAATCGACTTCGGCAGGGGTGGGTCCGAGGGGTAAGCGCGAGTGAGGCTTCTCCTCAAAGCTGGTGAGGTAACTATCTGATTCAAACTCAAGCTCGACTCACAAAGCAAGCTAAGCATCTCGCTCCTGATGGTGTACTCCCGACTAAGAAAGCATCCAGCTGAACCTGCGTCTCCCTCCTTTTTTTCGTCGAAGCACGCGGAGTTTCGTGACTCCTTTTAGGAGTTCCGTGGGTTCTCGTCGGGGTTTCGCGAGTTTTCGGCGGGGCCTCCTCCTCTTCGGCATCTATGACCACTGCCTCATCGATCGTCGAATTGTGGGCCGCTTCTTTCTCCGTGCTCGGAACCGGGGTGTCCTCCGTAATATCGTGCTTCCTCTTCAAATTGTCTATGAGAGAGCTCGTGCTCCGTACGCTCTTTAAAATCTAGGATGCAAACGCGCGTCACTCGCTTTCTCTTCCTTCAGACCAGGGGTGGGCAACTTCGCGAGGCACGCAGGCCGCAATCTACGGCTCACGGGCCGCAGTGCGGCCCTCTCGGAGGATATAGTTTCTATGGTATTCCTAGCGTAGAATTACCCGCTGCGATGAAGGAAACCATCCTTGAGGCAATGCGAATTCAGTGCGATTTATTAGTTTGCATCTTCCTAACAAGTTCATCGATTGCGGGCTCAAATTTAGTCGTAGCCACTCGCAGAACATTTTCCAGATTAGGGTCCGAGAGTTTCGATCTCAGACGAGATTTGTTCAAGTTCATGAGACTGAAAGTCTGCTCACATATACAAGTACTCCCGAATAGAGACATTTGCTTCATAGCAAGATCGACCATGTGGGGAAAAGAGCTACGTTCAAGTGACCTGTAGAACTCGCCGATAGAACCCTCTCTGTGCTTGTTTCTCAGCAGTGAGCTATTCCGAAGCCGGATTAGCTCAAGTTGGAGCAGAGGGTGTACTGTAGTGACATCGACCGCGAAAGGATCAGCAAATAGCTGAAAGTCAGCTTCTGAATCGTAGAAATCCGAAAATCGATTGCTGAACTCTCCCAGGAGCTCCTCAAGATCTCTATTGAATTGAGCGCATTTGTTCTCGATCTCGGTGGGGTCCGTTAGCACCATGCTTGTCCTTGGAAAGTGGACGAGGTTCCCCGTCGTGAGATGGAACATGAATAACTTAAGCTTCCCAACAAAGCATTTCACTTCGAAGTAGAGGTCTGATGCAAACTTGTTCTTGCCTTGCAAATTCAGGTTGAGTTCGTTCATGTGAGACATGATGTCTGTTAGGAAAGCGATGTCCTGCCAGAACTCAGGATTCGCAATCTCATTCGCAAAACTTCCGTTCTCTCGCGCAAAACTCAGAATCTCGGATCGCAGCGTGAAGAAGCGATCGAGCATTCTTCCCCGGCTCAACCACCGAAGTTCTGCGTGGTAGAGTACGTCTTCGAACTCAGCCTCAACATCCTGCAGGAAAGCGCGGAACGCACGATGAGTCAATGCACGCGAGCGTATCGAATTCACTGTTCCGGTGACCACCGACAAAACTGGCTTGCACTTGGAGACGCTCGCGCAAAAAACTTCCTGATGTACGATACAATGGTACTTCAAGAACTTCGCATTCATCTTCTTCTCGAGGAGGACAACTGCTCCGTTGCGGCGGCCAATCATGGCAGGTGCCCCGTCAGTACAACAGCCGGATATCTTGTTCAACGGGAGTTCGTACTTGGCCAGCACCTTGAATACTTCCTCACAGATATCGCGACCGGTTGTGGTCCCCATCATGGGGCACAGGGCCGCTAATTCCTCGTGAATTTCCATTTGCGAGTCTACGGCGCGGATGAATATCAATAGTTGAGCGCTTGATCAAGCCTCACGAGACGGGATGCATCGGTGCGTAGCCGACGGGCATGGTCGGCTGCTTCGAAGATCTCAAGTGTGAAGCTCCGTGGCTTCACGGAGAAACGACCCCACTTCGGGTCCCGTCGGGGAGGGGGATGTCGTCTGCGGCATCACCCATGATGTCTTGGGCATGATGGCGGGTCATGTCTACCGCACACATCGTGGTAATGAGCCGCGTGTCCACGAGTTCGATAGCGGTAATCTCCGTCTTTGCAAACGCCATGGTGCGAGATGCTGATTCGGTCATTTCGTTTTCGTATGCTAGACTGGCGCGTAGCGCCTCAGTCACATTGTCCGCAAGGTTAGTCAGCAAGCTTTGATAAACAGAAGAATGGCTTGCGATATTGATAGACGCGTCCTCCTGTGCGCCCCCGTCAAGCAGCTCGAGCTGATCGTGGATGTCTCTTTGCCGGGCATCCATGCTGTGCGTTTTCTCTTCGGTCGCTTCGAGGGAGAGAATGAGGTCGTGGAGCTTGTCGCGATTTTGTTCTGTCTTTCGCTTCAGAGAATTTTCCGCACGATTCCGGACACACACTCTTTGCGATGATCAGAAAGCACTCTTTGACGAAAACTCCATCTGTGAACGGCCGGCCACTAGATGCGATTTTTTGTGCTATTTAGGAGCTCGCTCGGCTCGTGGCATCCTCAGAATCCTTTTCCGCCGAAAGTTGCTGCTCCAAGTACTGGGAAGCCTCCAGTGCTTGAAGTCGGACTGATCTTTCCGAAGCCGATAGGCCTTGCTCCTGTGAATGCTTCGTCTCATAATGTCGCCTCAAACTGTATTCTTTCAAAATAGAAAGAACGCTTTTACACACGGGACACAGCGGCTTGCCGTCTTTTACAACGAAAAAGTTTTTCTGCGTCCAGTCTGGGTTGAACTTCCGCTTCTCTTCCGCGACGCTTCTCTTGGACGCCGTTGTAGATACGCGTGAGAGCTTTCACTGATCCTCAAGGACATTTCACGCTCACGAGCTTCACCCGTTGCTCCGCGGGTGATGTAATGTTCGGCCTGAGGCGACGAATACCACCACTTTCTAATCTGACTATGGCCACATTCACTTCTAGTCGATATTGAAATTCCTTTGGAATGAGACGAGTTATCGCGCTGGAAGCCACTCAATTCTACCCTCAATGAGGACGCGGACCTCTTCCGGGACTCCCTTTGATTGGATATCGTCGATGAAAATCATT